AATATATATCATATGTAGATACATATAAACACACACTATGTGTATATGTACATGAATGTGTGTGTGTGTGTGTGTGTGTGTGTGTGTGTGTGTGTGTGTGTACACATTCTCATACATTGCCACAGAATATGAACCAACTCAGAGCTGAGTGCCCATTGAGTTCTCAGAGAAAGAAAATCCTACAGGAGGATAGCGCTCATCTTTCTCTCACGTGTATCTGGTGGATTTATTTTTCTTTTTCACAAATGTAAACATTTTATTTAAAGAGGAAATACAAATGGAGCAATGAACTGGATAAACGGAGCAGTGATTATGTAAGGAGGGAGAGAGTGCTAGACCTTACAGACATGGAATAAAACTCCTCTCTTGTTTGGGCAGAATTTGAGTCCTTGGGAAAAGAAGAGTGTCAGCCAAAAAGAAGAGGACCTTTTCTTGTGGATTTTAAAGACTTATTTTTAGTTTGGTAGCACAATTCATCATTTACTAGGTCACCAGAGCTTCCTTTAGATCATTGCTGTTGTTGCCAAGTGCCGTCGAGTGAAATATGACTCGTAGTAACCCTGTGAACAACAGATCTGAACCCTCTCCTATCCCTGTCCTATCCTCACACTTCCTGACACAGCAGACACAGTGTCGGTGCACCGGGCTGAGGGTCTTCCTCTCCTTTGCCATCCCTCTCCCATTCTATTATGTAGTACATATGTATGTATACACGTATGTATATATAAATTGGTATGCATGTATACGTGTATACGTGTATACATATATACAAGTACAGGTATGTGTGGGGCATATAAACATGCATATGTATTTACATTTATGCATATTAGTGTGGTTACTGTGAGGTGCCTTCTATTCTACTACCACACATACTGAATTTATGAACAACAATGTGAACTTTGCCCTATCCGGCATCAGCTTCCTGGTCTCTGATATGCTCTGGATCATTGTCACAGTCTCTGTGTCTTTCCACCTTGTTAGGAGGCTTTCTCTCTTCTGTGACCATTCTACTGTATAAGCATGATATCTTTTTCCAAGGACAGGCCTCTCCTGAAAACATACCCAGAATATGTGAGACCAAGTTCACCACCCTTTTCCCTGAGAAGGAATCTGTTTGCACTTCCTTCAAGTGAGATTTGTGTGCTTTTTGGGCTCTCCGTGAGATATTCAGTACCCTTCCAAATTTTGAACGCATTAGAAAAAGTGTTAAAAAACTATGACCTGGATCAGGCCCACATTAGTGTTTAAGCTGACATCATTTAAATAGAGCAGAGACCCTTGACAAATAATTTACCAATTGCAGTATCTATTTTGATTTAATGATTGCTATTATTATGAATACTATGGATATTACATATATAATATTATATATAATAAATAATTAGTAATATCTAATCCCCAATGATTATATAACAAT